CTGTCCCTCGAGTTTTTACCGAATATATTTTCATATTTATCGACCTTCTAGTATAAAAAAAAAAAAAAACGAAAGGATGTTGTAAAATATGAAAAAGACATTTTACAATAGAATTCATTTAAAACATAAAAGAAACTTTGTCTTTTTTAAATAAATACTTTGAAAATATACAATCGATTGAAATTGATATTTGCAAATTTCTTGCAAATTCCAATCGTTTTAAAAATTGTTAAAATAAATTTATAATAAGTTTATATAATAAGGATAATGAAATAGAGACGAGTGGTATAATGAGAGGGAAAAGATAGTAAACATGGACGGTGTATCTTGGTGACAATCAGTCAAGATATGAAGCCTCGAGACCGCAACGAAAAGATTGTCGTTCTCAGTCCCACTCACGAGGACAGTGGGGTAGCGACTTCCGGTGATATAGGTGAACTTTCGTTCTCGGGAGAGTGCGAGGGAGTCGTTTGTCTGCGAGAAACAAGAGGACCAAAGGGGATCGAAGGAGATGAAAATCAAGATCCTAGGTCTGACTTTACGGATACAATTTACGCAGCCCTTAAATTGGCAATTCGTCGAAAAATTTCATTTCCATCAAAATTTCACTTCAATTCGTATGGAAAGAGATAAAATTTATTTTCTAAATTTTCAATTGGAATCCCGGAATATAATTGAATATTCAAAATATTTTCTCCCAAACGTAAAAAAATAGGGGAGAAACTTCAAAATTTAAAAAACAAATCCTTAATTCGCGCCAAGGTAAATTTAAGATTATTCTCCCAAACAATTTCTAAACTGATTGGAATCATTTCTTCACTTCGTGGAACAATAAAATTCGAAATATTTTTTTTTTTTTTACACACAAATAGAAACTCGTACGTATCCGTCACTGGTAATTATAACCGAGCTTATTAAGTTGAATACTTGCGTAAAACGTTAAGAGTAATGGGACGAGTAGAGGCAGGTAAGACCGAAACAAGTGTTCTTATTCTCGTCTAACTGGTTTTCATGGTCCGTAGATACATCGCGCGATGCACCATAAGGCAGCATTACTACCCTGAGAGTGGTTGGGGTTGGGTGGTCGTAGTAACCGGCGTTATGGTGCAAATTCTTGCCGCGGGGATTCACGGGGCTGTTGGAGTGTGGTTGCTGTTGGAAGGAACGAAACGATATCGTCAATCCCCTGTTAACGTAGGTACGATATTATGCGAGGTATCGACGATCCCATTTTCTAATTTCAATATTTGATCGTGGGCTCAATCTCGTCTCTCAATCGCTCGATATAAGATACGAGTACACGCGCATTTCTGTACCCTTCCACATTATAAAAGAACGCGCACAGAGAGGCTGAGTTGACACTGATCACGATGCTATTATTATTATTTTAATTTGAAAATTAATTTCACTACAACGCTTCGATAAATCAAAGTAAGGGAAACGAGAAAAGCAGGCAAATATAAAAATCGCCACAATTGTCGTAAAATTGTATTATGGGCTATTAAAAAAAATTCATACGCATTTAAATCCTCGTAGAAATATCCCTGTCTGTCCTAATTCAACTCACGTTTCTAAATCATCGCGCCTCGCATCGAGCATATTGATATCGACTCGTCGTATCTAAATCTGCCGGAAGAATACGAATCCATACCGATCTTCTGTCCCCCTATGCTCGGTTTTAAAAATTTATCGCGGACAAGCAGCGGCAAAACGGAGAAACTCATCGAGTCTGAAGTTGCGAGGCGGGCCTTGACAACGAGAAGAAAAATACGATATCGCTTGAATATTTCATGGGTACGGAGAAAAAAGGGAAGGACAATTTGCCTGAAACGATAACCGTACGCCAACGAAACGTCTCGCTACAAACGAGTTGTTATCGAGCGTTATTATAATTCAACGAGCAAGAATCTTGAAAAAGAAAAAAGAAAAAACACGCCTCTCTTTATCGTCGTTCCCGTAAAAGCGAGTTCGTCTGACGTTACCATCATCTTCCGTTTTTCTTTTTTTTCCTTCCACGCCTTCGCTTCGAGCCGCTAACGAGCTCTCGCCCTTTCCCTTCTCGCCCTCCATTTGCGAGGGCCGATTTGTTTAGAAACAAAGCACATTTCGATTGTAACGAATTTTCTTTCGAGCTCTCGAGATTTCTCACGTTTTATCACGTTTTATCGAAGAAGAGGAAAATGGGGTTTCGAAGAGAGACATTCGGTTGCTAATTTTAAATAAGATCGAGGAAGAACGCGTGGAGGATGCGTGGAGGTTAATTTTAGATTTAAGATGAATTCGTGAACACGAAGGAAACATCTGAATTTTGAGATTATAAAGATGTGATATTTGTTTAAACTTCGTATGTTTTTTTTCCTCGCATTATAGTTTTATTATCGGTATAATAAAACGTTGGTAAAATTTTAGAGAAGAAGACAACTATCCTCGATCGTAAACTTTATAACGTTGGTTGACATTGCCCCTAGGGATCGCCTAGCATCTCGTTTGGATAGAGTTGTCACGAGGTTACGATCCAAAGGGCCGTTGACCGGCTATTTCGCCAATTCACTCTCCCTCTCGTTCGTTTCTTCAAACGAAATTCAAGGGAGGAGATCGTAGCACCCTTGGGGATTCTCGTTCGAGACTCCTGATCCTGACCAATGACAAGGATGGAGAGAGACTATGAAAGAGGAAACGATACATAATGGGGGAGGCATTGTGTATTGAAACGATTCCTTTGAAATCTGCAACTTCTTGACGATCTTCCTCTCTTCTCTTCCCCTTTTACTTCCTATATTAATTCCTTCGCACATAATAATACTTTTACAAAGTGGAAAGAAGGAAATTCAAGAAAATTTTCAATTGAAATTGAAGATGCCAAAATATTTTCTTTCGGGAAAATTTATTAAAAAATTTCAATAGAATCATTTCGTTTATTTCTAACGTATATTTTAATTAATATATACGATCTCAAACGCATATCTTTATACCGCTAAAATTTCAGAAAGAATTTCGTCACGCAGAGCAACGAAAATAAGAGGAGGAATTAAGTGAAAAAGAAAAGACCTGCGAATAAGTTATTCCTGACGAGAGACATTTAAACGCTTATCATGCCTCCGACTATTCAACCGAGATTGATAACCGAACCTTTTTATCATCCATTAACTCCGCGTCTCTGTAACTAAGCTGTAAAAAAAATTACTTGACAGGATGATCGATAAATTCGTCCCGGTTGTTTCTCATGGAACAAATTTTCATCCCTTCTACTTTTCTATTCCTCACCAAAAACTTTACCAAAAAAAAAAAAAAAATCTCTCCTCGTCCTTTGATATCTCTTCTCTCCGTATAAAAACCCATTCAATCTTTCGTTCATCATCATATGTACAACGAGAAAAATTGAGATACCATAGATCCTTTTCTAAAAGGATCCTATTCCACTCTCTTTTAAAAAAATCTCAATTCTCAATTAATTCTCGAAAAGAAAAAAAAGCCGACACCTCGACCCAACAACGAACCTATTGAATCAAAGTAACTCGAGCCTCGAGTTCCACGATAGTTCCACGTCGACTCGCGAGAGATTAATAACCGTTCTTTTTTATCCTTCGAATACCTTCCCTTTGTCTTCGAGCGGCGCGGCGTCCCCCATCTTCTGCGATGGACGGCATTCTCCGATGGTCGTTGATCGATGAGCCTGTTTGCGGCTCCGTTCGCGTGGAACGGTGAAAATTAATTAAACGACCCAGCGGCAGGCTTGCAACAACTAGGCCTGGCTATTCGTCGCTGTTTGTAATTAAAACGGTCTTAACCTCGATAGAGAAATCTGACTTCTGTTTAACAGAAAGTAGGTATGGTGTTTAATAGGCGGTCTTAAGAAGATCGAGGTAAAAGAATACGCGAGGAGGAGAGATGGATCGCGAAGATATACCTGGTGTTCGAAACAATTAGGTGAAAAATTGAAGAGATAACTTCAATTGAAACAAACACGAAGTTGGGAAATTTAATTTTGTCTTGGAATAAAAGTGTGAACGAAACGGTCTCGCTTTATCCATTTGTGCGTAAAATTGAATTAAATTAAATTAATTAAAAACGAGATCTTTCTTTGTCTCCTTGTTTCATCCAACGAAAGATCAAACTTGCTCGCACTTTGAAAAATGATTGTACAAAATTTTTGTACATCTGTGTAATCTCTTTTTGTTTCGTTTTAATCTCTTAGAATCAGGTACATATGTTTCCTATCCACTTGGTATCCGAATAAGTATCTGTATAAAATAAAGTGGCGAGTAGATTGGCTAACTCGAAATCGATTTATCATTTCGATCTCTTTACGACGATCCAATTGGACGAAGAGAGAAATATAGTGCGGTGGAAATACGGTGACTAGAACGAAATACGTAGATAGGGATATCGATCTTGCCGCGATATGATTTTAATTGAGGGGAAGCCCGGTTACGTTTATTACGATCGCAAACTAGAAAGGTGAAATATGGCCGGATAGAGATTGAACGACGAGCGAGTGAAACTCGAATCCGGCATATGAAACGCATAAATCGTACAGCAAACCGGCGTAAATGGAGCTCGAGAGAATTTAAATATCGGTGAACAATGAGGCGTAAAGTGTTTTCGACTTTGCTTAGTCGACTCAATATTATCTAACTGTATAATTAGGTAATTAAATTAGGAAGTATAAATAAAATCCATTTATAAAGATTTAACTAGGGAGGATTTGATTCGATTTCAAGTTTGTGAAGAGTCTGAGAGATTTCAGTTGGTTTTTTTCAAGAAATATTTCGAATCGTGTTGATTCCTCTCATCGATCAGAGACGATTTTTCTTTTTAAAAAAAATTTAACAAGCGTGAAATAATCGGTAAACGAAAGAGGAGATGAGGTCGACGTCCATTTAAGACGCACACCATTGGCACAACAGTATTCGTGCGTTCATCCATCCATTTTTTCGCCTATTTTTACGAAAAATTGAAACAAATGAAAAATCGATTAAGAAAGTTTGATCTATTTATAGGATGGCTAGGAGCAATGTCGACAGGAGTGGCTCTACTAGTTTCACCGGTAACAATAGCGTTTTGTCGGAGAAAAAGTACAAGACTCACCGCGGTTTTGGGTGGCCTCGTTACAGCTCTCGGCTGCCTTTTCACTTCTTTCGCCTCGCAGTTCCACCAATTGTTCATCAGCTATGGCACCGTTGTCGGTGAGTCACTGTAAAATATTGTCAATTCCTTTACTCTCAATTTCTTTTTCCTTTTCTTTTTTTTTTTTTTTTTTTTTTTTTGAAGGGAAGAGTATAATAATAAGAAGTTGCGTAACATAATTTGTAGAAACGTTTCCTTTTTTAATCGATTAAATCATCGTTCACCTTCTTTCTTTCTCAGTTACGCAATTATGGACTGGACTTTTTATAACGCACGCCCACGTCTATCTCTAAATATCTTGAAGAGATTCGCTCGTACGATTTCTCAAAATTATTGTACAATTAAAAATATCGATTAAATGTTAATGCGATGAGATTATGAAGTTTTTATTAATTGCTTTACACAGGTATAGGAGTCGGCATGACCAGGGATTGTAGCACTTTAATGGTGGCGCAATATTTTAAGAGGAGGCGAGAACTGGTCGAGATTTTTATCGTGTCCGGAAGTGGCCTTGGTATCGCTGTTATGTCGGCTTTCATTAAGGGAATGATTAGGTAACGTTACAACACAGTGTGATATAAATTTTTATCTTTCACATATCAAACGTGATACGAAAACGTTAATGCTAATTTAAAAAAGAGAAGAAATTAGAAAAACTGAAAAACGTTCTTTATTTTATTTTCAGCAAGATTGGGTGGCGCTTAGGCCTTCAAGCAGTGACCTGCGTGGTTTTCCTCACGTTCATCTTAGGCACCTTTTATCGAAGCGCATCCCTGTACCATCCGCAACGTAGAGCTATTCTACATCTGAAAAATCAAAAGCGTAAGATTAAGGATAAGAACAAGACGGACGATGGTCCACCGTTCTTCGACTTCAGTACGCTGAAGAGCAAAACAGTGAGAATACTGCTCGTGTCCACTGGGATATCTGCCTTCGGGATCAACACCCCGATATTTTACCTGGTAAAATGCAGCACGATCAAAACATCTACCTTAGAAAATTTAAATATCTACGATTGTTCTTAAAACAAACATTATATATATATATATATATTTTTCTTTTCAAGATACGAATACAGTTAATTTTCTTTGGATGTGAAAAAAAATGTCTTTTTTCAAGGCGCACCAAGCCGAAGAAGAAGGCCTTGGGGACACGGTGATCCTGCTTCAGGCTTATCTCGGTCTGGCCTGGACCCTCGGCTGTGTCGCCTTTGGCCTTTTGGTCGTGCATCGCAGCGTCGAGTGCAGGATAGCGCGTCAGTATCTCACGCAAGCGGCGATATTTGTATGCGGATTGTGCATTCTGGCTCTCACCGCCGTTCAAGGAAATTATCACGGATATGTGTTGTTCGCCTGGATATACGGTACGTTGTCCATAAAAACGTACGTGTGTGCATTCTCGAAAATAATTCCCTTCCGAAATAAGAACCCGCGTCCCAAATTCTTGGCAAACTTTTCTCTCGCGTATCCTTTTGACAAATGAAATTTGGAATTCACCCAGATTCTAACGGCAATTCTAATTTCTAAGATTAAGAAATTAAGAAATCGTGGTTTCTACAGGCATCTTCTGCGGCGGCTACCATTACAGCCTGAAAATGTACACGTACGAGAGAGTGAGAGCGAGGAATTTCGCGAGAACGTGGGGTTTCGTTCAATGTTCCCAAGCCATACCAATAGCGATTGGAGTTCCAATTTCAGGTAAAAAGAACGGGCGTTTTCGAATCGTTTTTCAAAATCGTTTTTAAGAGTACGTTTTGAAAAAAAAAAGAAACGATTAATGGAACGTTAACGAAGAAGAAAAGAAAGTTGAGAGATTTTGCAGGATACATGAACATCAGTTGCGGTGGGAAAGCTGGTTACTACTTCAGCTCGACCTGCGTACTGGTGGGCAGCTTCACCCTCTTCTTCATAGATCTTCACAGAAGAAACTTGTCGAGGCACAAACACGTGAGGTCTAACGGGACCAAGCACCTCTGCGTCTCGGACACTTGTCCGCAACGGAGGAAGTTGTCGTTCAGCCAGGAACCGGACAACGATGGCCCGCACGTGGCTGCTGCCGGGGCTGCTGCAGCCGCCCTCGTGCTTGGTGCTGAGATTGCGCCGAATCAAGGTGTGCTTAATAATATCTTATTGGATTCGCGAGAGATTGACTATAAATTGTCTCTAAATTGAATGGGGAAAAATGTTAAAACCATTCGAAAAAAATTTGTATGGTTGGTTTATTTGTATGGTTGTACGCGAGAATAAGAAGAGGAGGAGAATGAAAAATCTGGTTTCAGGCGAATACGTCGACGGTCTTGCCCCAGAGAAACCCGAGTTAACGTGCATCTCTGAGGAGGGAATCGCAGACATGGACCTCCCCGACAACATGCTCGAGGACCTCGATTACATCGGGGATTGTATAACCTCGTGCAACAAGGTCGAGAACTATCTGATGCTGTCCGAGTTCGAGAACAATCTGATAGCTGAAATACCGATCATCACGGATCGCCGAGGTCGAAGGTGGTCCCTGGCCCGTTCGAAAGGTGGCCAATCGAACCTCGATCGTCCCTCAGCACCACAACCTCAAAACGAGGAGCCCGAAGCTAAGCCTAAATGGCACGCGGCTCCTAATGTGCCTCCTAATAACAGGGTGATCACCGTGATCGACGAGGCAAGCACGTAGCTTGATCGCGAGATCAAGAGATCGAACAATCTGTGCGTTGAATATGGATATTTTAAATCAATCTTTCTTTTTTTCTTTCTCTTTTTTTTTTTTTTTTTTTTTTAAAGCTTCTTAAATATATTATACAATTTTATACGCAAGAAGCGTAGAAGAAGCAAAGTTTTTACGTAATAATTTCTTACGTAAATGAAATACGAGTGCGAAGAAATTGGAAAAATATTTTTACGAATTTTATACATGGATCGAATTCTCGAACGGTTAAGCGGAATAGTACAAAATGGATGGAAAATGAATGGATGAAAATCATGAATTAGGGAAGAAAGAGTTGTTATATTGATCTCTTCTTTTTTTTTTTTTGTCTCGTTTGTTGGCTCTTTGATTTAAGATAATTGTTAAGAGATCGTTGTTGACGATAAGTATAATAGCGAACACGGTGGCGCCGTTAATCTGGCTCCCATAGAGGCGTAAGAGAGTCCAGTATTGGGTCACTTAATTCGCGGTGCAATTAAGGACAATAACGTCGGCTTTCGACGAGAGGAACCACGGAAACGTTCCGTCCACATGGAGATAACCTCGACTCGCGTCGACGTCTTTGTTTAAGCTTCGTGCTAGTTCACTGCCACGCGTAGATTCACGAATCGGACGATCTTTCGATTATCACGCGAATCAAATATTTCTTTTCAAAATAAAAATTTCTTTTCCTTTTTCTTTTTTTTAAATGTAATCCAATATCACGGTTATAAATCATGAAATTGTTTTATTAATTTCGAAATTTAAATGTATAGTAAGGAAAAATGAAAAGAAGAAGATCGTCCGATTCACGTCGATGTAAAAGTCATGATCTAGAGCCTTTATCGAAGGAACCGCTTTATTACGTAGGCACTGCTAGCTAAAGATAATGAAACTAGTCCGAATCGAAATTCGTATTGCAGCGATAAATGGTATATAGTATAACGATACGTGGAAATATTAGCACACGAGAGTAATTTATCCTTGTATCGTCGTTCGAGGCATTTCGAGACGAATGTTATTCTCTTTCGATGATTCGAGCGCGGATCGCGACCGGTACAAAAAAAAAAAAAAAAAAAGAAAAACGCAAAGAGATGACGACACTATTTATTTATCAAACTATTTATATTAGAAATTATTCATACGCATATCATGTACATATACACGTACACATACACACTTGTAAGGCGTATACACATGCGTATGATGTTATAACGGTAGATTAGCATTAAGATGCCCCGAGATTAGTCGATTAAGATTATAATTTGAAGCCAATCGAATACCGAAGAGAATATTTGTACAGGGAAACTAGACTGGTGTTACGAATCATTGAATTTTTTTTTTTTTTTTTTTTTTACATCGATCGATTATTTTTCTTTTCTTTTCTTTTCTTTTCTTTTCTTTTCTTTTTTGAGAAATATATCGTGCGTGGATAAATCGAAGACAAAAATGAAAATGAATCATAAATTATTTTTAACGAGACATGACTCCCAATGACTCGACACTTGCCTACGTAACCACGTGTTTAAGTTACAATTATCGTATTATTGTTATCATTATGATAACAGATGGCTACTAGTCGAAAGCGTTGTTCGATCGACGCGAATGAACAATAACTTACAAATTTATTACACGCCACAGTAAAAGATACAACACGAATAAACTGCCTATATATAGTATATATATATATATTGTAATATTGTAACGTTGTTAATACAGAAATGTGATTTTATCAAATAATCTCTAGTCGTTTCTTTTATTAAACATTTCGCGAAAACAAAGAAGAATCAGAATGTGTAACGATGTCCTTTCGACGTAGTTATATTTTCCTTCATTAACCTACTTCATCCATACACATTTCTCTTCGCAATTAATTTCCGAGATAAGGTTGCACAAAGACTTGCAACTTTTTCTTCTTTCTTTTTTTTTTTTCGAGATACAGAACATACATTACATCCTTCGTTCTTCAAACATCTAAAGCTACGTGACTTATTTGAGAAACTCTTAGAATGGAAGATGATTCTAGACTTTATATCTTCAAACTATTTTTCATACGTATTCCTCGTATTATCTCTCTTGACATTCGTACACTTGTGTTCCGAAGTCGTTACACAATGAAGACATTAAAAACGGGACTTGTTGAAAATCTTGTGTCAACGAATTCATTGAAATTCATATTCTCGTTTGATAAAAAATTTTTTCGCAAAGAAAAATGCTTTAACCAACGGAAATAAATCAGAGACGTTGAATAAATATATAAGAACACGCGTTGTAATTATTATTAAAATCTGATTCGTCCACTTTATTTGAGATTATATAAACAATAATCGAATACGATTTTCGACGATAAAAAAAGATGAGATTATAAGGAAAGATCTTCGAAATGATTAATCTAACGTAATTGACTTGTACAGATACTTTTCTTAATATAATAAATGAACGAATAAACGTGTCAAAGAAAAAAAAAAAGATGTAAAAGATTTCTCTCGTTCGCGGAGAAGAAATCCGCTTTCTTTCCAATCGTAAAGTTTTACGTTCGAGGAAGTTTCATTATACAATTATACAATTAGATACAATTATCGTATCGCCGAATGTTCCATTACGACATCGGTTCACGTAACCCTGATAATGCAATATTAATTACGAATTCTTGGTAACCAACAGTTGAACGTTTGTTACGTGCATTGGCATGCGAGAAATATCGAGCGCGGCCCACTATGCACCGGCCACACTTTATCGATAAATTCTAATTCGCTTTAGTCACGATTCGATGATACCCATTAACCAACGAATACGATTCGTATTGAAATTATTTTCTAATTATTTCTTCCGATCTTCACACGACGATTCGTCAAATCATTTGATAGATAGAAAGAATCGAGAAGTATTGTGATATTTGATTGCAAAAAAAAAAAAAAAAGAAAAAAAAAAAAGAAAAAAGAAAAACGAGTACATTCGTATAATTTTATAAGAGAAATGTTCGAATCGAGTAGAGTTCGATTAATTCGAATCGTTTAAAAATAAATTTATACATAAATTTCAAACGATTATTCTTTTCTCGAAAAAATAAGCTTCATAAGAAAAGAAGTGAATTTCACAAATTCATTATACATTTCGAATTTCAATTCTTCGGGAGGGGGGGAGGGGGAGGGGAACTCCGAATCAGTGTGTGAAATTAAAGGAATTGTACGATTCTATTACAATAGGGAGAACACGAAGTGATTTTCGTTGAAAAGGAAATCGATTCGATTTAAAAATGAAATGAGCACGAGGTTAAGAATGGGATCAGACGGTGCGTTAATTGCAGTGCAACGTAATCGTGTGCGTTAATCAGTGATCGGCAGGTTGCGTAGGGCAAGAGGTATGTTAGCAGCACTTACGAACAGTCGCTCCAAGGCGCCCCATGAAGGTGCCCCCTTGGCGTTCCCATCTTATCACATAACAAATACATACGGCGCTATCATATTCTCGAGGTAAGATTATCACGATTTCGTTGAACACGATAGCGAATCTGCATTCGTGGATTAGATTTCTGTTCACTTTCTGTTCCACGAACCGATCGTTTTCAAAATGGTGGTGTGTCCATTAGAAACTCAGCATTGTGACATTTGATGATTTAATTCCTACGAGGGACGCGTCGTATCGGGTCGAAATGTTTTCAACGCGTTTCCCATTGTTGCGTTCGATGTTTTTTTTTTTTTTTTTTTTTTTTTTTTTTTAATTTTTTAATTCGAGGGAGAAGAATTTTCATAGAGAGAGAAGGGGCAGAGGGGAAGAGAGAGAGAGAGAGAGAGAGAGAGAGAGAGAGAGAGAGAGAGAGAATGATCTTTTGAAATTATTAATATCGATCACTCGTGTCGCGATTTATTTTTTGCTTTCGCTTGGGGTTTCATCTCGAAAGTAACCTAATCGTGGGCAATTGTACGATTATGAAAATCGAGACGGCTGGAATGCGATAAGTATCATTTGATAAGGAACACGTTACGTTTCAGTGCTCTGGGACAAACGAGTACGAGAATGCCCTACGGAAAGTTGCACGTTCTTCCATTGAGCCTCTTTATCCTGATCCCGGTGACGTTTCTAATTACGTAAGTTTGCAAGTCGATGCAAAACCTTTTTTCTTCTGCCTTTTCCTTCCTCTCAAATTTCATTGAACACTTTTGCCTTTTTTCTTTGCTACCATCTTCTATTTTGTCGCGTCCTCGGCCGATTCTTCGATCCGATTAATCGAATTAAAATTATTTTTACGCGTTTTCAAAAAATTATTACGCGCGAACCAGGTGAAATTCGTTTCTTTTATACGAATTTTTCAAAACATTCCCATCTGCTTGCTTTGTTTTCAAGCTTGATAAGAATAAAAAATTAATTAAAAATGATCGGAGATTCGGATTGGAAACGGTGAGGTTGTGATCAGAAGTAATTAGAGAGAAAATTAAATCATAATGGAAAACTAATGCTTGTCGGTTAGTTGTGCGGTCGATCAAGGCCATTTAATAAGAAACAACGACTGCCACGCGAATTCTGTTCCTGGTGGCATGATATAAATCACGATTAGTTTGATTCATTATACTCGTCTGTGTACGCTTCGCGGGAATCGTTGTTCTGTAAATAAGATTGCTTTCAATCGTGGATCACCGATTCAATGATTCGCGACGTCGAAACGCAGCGTACTAAGCTCGAAATCTCTTTTTTTTCGTTAGAAATTAATTATAGAAAACATTAATCCGATATTATCTGATATTTATCTTATCTTACGCATTAATCTTATTATTATTATTAAACCGACACGTCGAAGATTTAAATTCAAATATAACGTGCAAACAATTATTTTTATCGACGATCAATTTTAATTAATCGCTTGCTTCGTTTTATTCGTTTCAAATTTCTGATTCTCAATATATCTCCACCTTTTACTTTAACATTTACATAATACAATTTTTGACATTCTTTTAATCCAACAATCCTTTGCTAATTCATCCTCTTGGATTCACCGATTCTTTCTTTCTTTTTTAAGGAAGGTTTACAACAAAACTTTTAAGTTGTAAATTTTTATAACCTGGATACTAGAATTGACGCGGGAATTAAATAAATTAAAGAGAATAAAATTAAAATCGATTTTAAAAGGTTTCACGAAATTTACACGTGATAATTGTTCTCGTATAGAATAACATTGCTTGACATGCTTTCGCTTTCATATTAATCGCATTTCAGGTACACTATATCGGTGCAGTGGGACCACGTGGTGCCAGGATTCCCATACATATCGGAAACAGGCACATTGTCACCGGAATCGTGTATATTTGCCCAATTCCTTAATATAGCCGCGTTGCTCCGTAAATTTCGTCTGGAATTATTTACATTTAAAAAACGTAAACCACATCGGGATCGATGGGACCACGACTAACGATAGTAACGTGTATTTTAGTCGCCTGTTGCGTGTACATCAGACATCGACAAGTTTCCCAATGGCAATTGGAAAGGGGGAACGATCTGGTTAGCAAGAGGATCGTTGTTGTGACGGCGTGGTGCGGCATTCTGGCCTGCTTTGGTCTCGATATTCTGGCCAACTTTCAAGAAGCCCGTGTCGTAGGGGCACATATGATCGGGGCAATGACATGCTTCACGGCTGGAACTATCTATTTTTGCCTTCAGGTACGAGATTACACCCACCCAGTCACTGTTTAACGCGCGCACGATCGTGGAACGAGGAAAGTTCGATGAATAGAGAACTTGGAAAAATTTGAAACTTTCTAGAAATATGATCTAAGCGATGCTAATAGCCAAACTGTTGGAAACTGTTGAAAATTTACAAACTTTCTAGAAATCAAAAATGGAATAGAGAATATTGGAATGGGGAGAATGGAATAGGGACTATTCTCCGTTTTCGAACGAGCGTTCTACTTTCGATGTAGTAGAAGTAAAACGTTTTGTATTTTTTTTTGAAATTTATTAAAAAAAAATATATATATGACTCGTATATATATATATATATATGTCGATAATTGACGTTTGACGTTTTTCAGACGTATCTGAGTTACAAAATGGTACCGGCTGTGAACGGAAAAATCGTGGTTTTCATTCGTGCAGGACTTTCAGTTTTAACATTAATTTTGACCATCACCACGATCATACCTGGCTACATATCAATGCTAGAATTTCAAGGTGATATTTCTCGATATAACTTCGTGAAACGTATGAAAAACGTAATGATATCGATATTGACGATTGATTCGATTTCTCTCTAATGTGATCGAACAGGTAACGATTACAAGAAATGGCTGCCAACGGACGGTGGCTGGGGTTGGCACGTAGCTAGCGCGATCTCCGAGTGGGTTCTGGCCATTGTTTATTGTTGCTTCCTCCTCACATTCGTGCCAGAATTTCGATTAATCAACTTCGAGGATCCAGTGGTTACGGTACGCCGCATTCCTACGTAATAATTATAATTTAGCAATAACGTTGTACGCGTATTTGTCACATCACAAGATAAGGGTAATTAATAGCACGTATACATTAATAATACGTTGAATCATAATTTACAATGGAATGTTTAAAATTTCAAACTGTGACCGCGTGACAATACAATTACGAGTCGATTACAATTCGATTAATCTTATCTTGGCGGAGTTAAATCAGCCCAGCGATTAAATCAATTTCTCGAATGACACACGAATGTTCTATTTTCAGCTGATATATCTAGACAAGGACCAAGACTTGAAATTGTCGCACAAGCTGAGCTCACAAGTTCAAGAGTCTTGAGATCCCTCGGATATATAAAGTCTCGATTAAGTATTTAAATTATATTTCTTTTGAAAAGTATGCATCATAATGATTATTTCAACTAATAATATTTTTAATAATGTAATAATAAGTTTGTCGGATATCACGTTTTCGAGTCACTTAAAATTTATTCAGTGATTAATACGCGTTTCTACGTTTCTACGTTTATCTTTTCTAGTTTTAATTACTTAATTATTTATCGATTGTTAAATCCAGTTAAATCGTCCTTGGTTGTAAAAAAGAAAAACAAAAATTTTTTTATTTCTATTAAAAATAATTTGTAAATTTTGTTAATATCAAGTTTCAATTTAAGATAATGTAAATCAATTGATTTTAACAAAAATTGAAAAGATAAAAAAAAAAAGATAATCAACAATAAGATAAATATTTCGTCCAGATATTTCTTTACTCGAAAATTATCTCGGTTTAATACCTTCGTGATACCATGCATAATATGGCCGATACTTTTTTGTCGTTTCTTTTTTATTTTTATTTTTCTTTTTTTCTTTTTTTTTTTTTTGCGATCGATGAAACCTAAAGCGTATAATAAGCGTATAATAATAATATCGATAGATCGATCGACGTACGAGTGTCATTTCTGCAAAAAAGAAAAAAAAAAAGACACGCGAACAAACTTTGAAAGTTAACAATTAGCTATAGAGAAATAGCGTGTAATACCTATTAAAGTGAAACTTGACTGACGTACAAAGTGCATGGTACAGTGGCTCGTCGAGGATCGTGATTTATCTTCTTTAGCGCTCGATCGAAGCTCCTTTGAAAAATGCAAGAACGTTGCCACAAATCTTAAGAGGCCCTTGGATTAACGAGAAATTTTTTTACTAATAATACGTATTTTGTATCGATCTGATTAGACTTAATTTTCTTTCGAACGTGCAATCATCAATATTGGATGCTGAACAAGTGCTATTATTACTTGCGTCAACGACAAAGAAAACATCTTGAAAACATCGAGATAGATTTGTCTCAAAATAAATAAATAAAATTTCGCAATTTTAAACCGAAATTTATTACAATAACGTGAACAAATTCGCACGATTCAGAGGTTTGTAGTAACTCCTTCACGAAATATTCGCTAAATCTGCAACTACGTATATATTTGTCTAATCTGGGATCCTCTTCTCTGAAGTATGCAAAGATATCTAATTGCACTCTTGACGTTGTCGATATTATCGAATCGATAGTTGCGATTTTCTAACCGAATTTAAAAATCTTCTTCTAACCAAACTAACGTAATGAAACTAACGAGAAATCAAACATTCATCGTGTTCTCGTTCGTATTCCACGGGGAGGAAAAAAAATGTTAGCTAAAAACTAACTTAAAAGTAACTCGAGTAAAATTCGTTAAAAAAAAAGAAAAAAGAAAGAAAGCTTTCTTCAAGCGTTTAACATCAAGGGAGAAAACGAAGCGTACAAATAAATACTATTTAATTTCAACACTGTGTTTCCGGTATTCCGAGTTGAAAGAAAATTACGAGAAACCGAAAAGGAAGAAGCGTGAACACATGCGATAGAAGAAATTGATCATGCACGGTCGTAAAGCGGAACACCGATTATCTGAACAAGGTGCGGTAATCCGGTATCGATAACTGTGTACACGTATATACGTATATTATCGAAACACGTTCGCGGATAGTATCGGCATAAACGTTCGTTGGAGAACGTGTGGCAGGAACGACGTCCGCGTCAGTCTCGTGGCGCAGCTGCTGAGAGCGCCGTTGGCACAACATCGATCGCGCACAGTCGGCCATAACCTCTGTAACTCGGTTCGTTCTTCACCCTGGCCTCGCGGACCGAAGCACGAAAATTGCGCAGGAACAAACAAAATCGCGATGGAACGAAGCTAGGTGGGATTTCGTGGATCGTTGGTCGAATATCATCGAGAGGAGAGGAAGTGTGGAAACGGTGTGATTTGGGCTTGGCGTTGTCCACGATAGAAGAAGACGTTCAATCGTTGTGCAACACCCTTTCCAAACGGTGTCCAGTTTCGGTGGAAACGCGTCGACGCCTCGACCTCGTCGACGACGATTCGTCGAGCGTTGACGAGACGGCGAGAAATAAAACGTCGAAGGTACAAACAATTTCTTTCATTTTATCGGATCGATTCTCCTCGGTTTTTCCAACCGCTTTGCCGTTGCCAAGTACGCAGTAGTAGGGCTTCCAGGCTTGCAGTTCGCTGCAAGGGTCCCCCTTTCCTTTGTCCCTAGACAACGCCCGCGTGAGAATGTTCGCACGCTTTATACGCGTCACTTCTCGCGAAAACGTTTCGAGACGTGTCACTCGTTGCCGTGGACGAATATTCACGGTGACGTGTGCCGCTTGCCGCAGTTTTCCTGCTCGGGTATCGCGTACGATATTTATGGCGCGCAGCTTGCTTCGATTAAATTCCGTTTCGCGTCAACCGTTTCTCATTAAAAAGGAATTTTTGCATTATTAAAAAGAAATATCGTCGCAAGTGTTAGTTTATATTATCGCGAATACGTCGATATTCGAATTTCGAATTGATTAATTTCTTAATTTCTTCTTTTCCTCTTTTATAAATTTCTAATTTTCTAAAACAGTATACGTATATATACGTGTATTATACAACAATGTACATACACGTATATATGATTTATGAAAATCGAGATTATTTGTAACATATTATCTCGAATCGAATAATAGCTGAATCATGCTGATAGATGTAGAAACGATGAAAGATAGCGGAATACATTTGATCCTGTCCAACCACGTGATTCATGATTGTTGTTTCTTTAAAGGTAGTAAATCGAAGAGGGACGTTGATGGGAGTCGAACTGCAGTGCGGTTGCGGCTTGGATGCATCGTAGCGGGTGATTCCCCTGGGAAGGAAGTGGAATAAGAGGTCCAGCCTCTTGGAACAGACGAGCATGAGTGCTCGTGGCTCGTGGACGCGTGCAACGACGCGTGTTTCTTCTCGATAGCGGCGTCTGCACGCCGCGGACGTCGTCGTCTGACGTCATTAGTTCCGGCGGGAAAACCGACAATAATTAAAAACGCACATTGGAAACATGGTGGACAAGGAAGACGTGCTCGTCAACCTCCATTATCTACCGATCTTCCTCTTCGTTTCATTGCCTTCCGTCTTTATTTTGACGTAAGCGAAATTTTTCCGCGACACACACGCATACACGTTTAATTAGAAAGCAGTATTTTTTTGGTTTAGTTGTTTCGCTAAGGAAAAGAATTTTGTTTGCACGCGATTAGTTGCAACGTTTAAAATTAAATTCGATATTCGAAAGTGCTTTCTTCCTTTGATGTCAAAGAATTTAAAAGTGTTGCGATTGTATGCAAAGTAAATATCTTTCTTAATTTGCATTGCAAATTGCATCTAATTTGCATAATAAACCGCGAATGGTTTCATATTTTAATGCAGGATGAGAATATCCGTAAGGACGATGTTTAACAAAAAATGTTCACATTCATAAAAATATATTTATATCAAAAACATGACAGACAAACTCGTCAAACTGTTAAAATTGATGGTTTAATAAGCTAAAAATATAATTTATATGCGTATATGTTTGATCGTCGTAATATAAAGCAGATAAAATATTGAATTAGCATCTGCTAATCCTCCAAGTAAATTTACATATATTCTTTTGAATATGCAAACAGATTTCTTGCATTCATAACTTAAGCTTACCAGTCCTTTCCTCTTTATTGCATTTCGCTTTTAAGTACAATAAACGTCATCCATTTTCCATTATACTTATTGCAAATATATATATATATATACGTGTACATTCATTCTCGTTTTCCAGTTATATAATAGCAGTTATGTTGGGCCACGTGGAAGCCGGGTTTCCTTACATCTCGGATACAGCCACTTATGCACCAGAAAGCTGTATATTCTCCCAATTTATCAACATGTTCGCGATGCTCAGTGAGTGCATTAAAAAAAAAAAAAAAAAAAAGTATACATATAAAATTTTCTATTATTCTCAGAGATTGACATTTCGCACGTAGTACAGTGACCTCGATTTACGTTCTACTGGAAATAAGCGAGAGTTTCATCGGGCAAAAATAGCAGCATTTGCTTTCGAGGAAGAACGACGCGCTTGTAAATTTGTTTTTCTGGATTTAAAGAAGAGGATTAAAAACATTATTCAAATATTGCGCAAACATCGAAAACTGTTTCGAATCGATATTTTTGCTTGATATATAAATATATTTATAAAGATAATTTTAATCGATCTTATTGATAAGATATAATCGTACAATCACTGAGATGAGATGAAAATAATTTTAATAATAATAAAATTTACGCTTCAATTGATAATCGTTCAATTCTGTTTTGTTCCAGTGTCGTTCGTAGTCTATATAAGGTATTCCCAAGTGAAAGAATGTTCGAGCACTTTTAGATTGCAAACCTCCCTACCGAAATGGAATCACTGGGCTTTAATTTTTGGCCTATTATCGACCTTTGGCCTATCGGTCGTAGCGAATTTTCAAGAGACCTCCGTTCTCGTCGTACACTTTATTGGCGCTCTGCTCTGCTTCGGTGGTGGTACCGCATATTTTTGGACACAGGTAAATGTTACTTTCATAAAAAAAAAAAAAGAAAAGAAAACTATACGAGATCGAAAATGAAACGAGTACATCTTTAAAACATACGTGCTTACTTAATTCCTCTAAAAATTCAATAAGTTTAAATTTCACGTAACTCTAGTTCCACGTAACTCGGCTTTCTAAAAACTTTCGATTTTCTTTTTTTTTTTTAGAAATCTCTCACTTTCAAAAGAAAAAAAAAAAAAGAAAAGAATTCACTCAAGTTCTTCGTGCTACGAAAGAAAGAAAGAAAGAGAGAGACACCAGGGAGTTAAAAATTAGTCGATCGATTGCGAAATGAAATGTCGCGTAATTGTAACAGAAAACCGATAATTGTGACTTGCGTAATTTCCTGGAAATTTGGTTTATATCGTCCCTCGTTGCCCCCTCGTTGTTTCTTATTAGCGTTGTTCTAATTGGACGCGCGCTTCATTTCCAGGCTGTGTGCACGTTCTACCTTCATCCGCTCGGATGTTCGTTGAGACTCGCTCACATACGAACGGCATTGTCAACCTTTTGCACCGTTTGTTTCGTCGTAACTCTGATCACCGGTGTGCTGGCACGCTTGGCTTACAAGGGTTGGTTCGTTGCGTTTCCTCTTTCCTTCCACCCTTCGCGTCCCCCCTTTCCCCCACTCGCGTCGTCTTCAATTAGTCTCGCATCTTGATGTTCGTTTCGATGTTTCGTTTCGCAGGCACGAATCCTCGAAAATGGTACAGGGAGGACGGCGGATGGGAGCTCCACGTGGCCAGCACGATCACGGAATGGCTGTGCGCTGGTGCATTCGCCGTGTACATTTTGACCTTCTCCGAGGAATTTCGCGATGTCAAAGTTATCCATCCGAAGGTATATGATCGACAAAGATGATCAGAACGAGTTATTATATAACTCGTAATAAATTTAACGTAAATGATAAATGGAATGAAATATATCAAACTCGTATCGTATCCCGAAATAAAACTTTATTTAATATATATTCAGTTGCGGATGATGGGTCGTGAATATTTCCTATCCTACAGCGGGTGACGCGTACGGTCCAAGAAATATAAAGGGTGAAAAAGAGTCAATCAAGTAACCAACTTTTTTTCATTTGCATACCCGATTAATAAATTAAAATCCATCCGTCATTCGAAGACTCTTATCGAACACGTCGATCAAAAATTGCTAAGAAAATAATACAACAACTTCTCCTGGAAAATTTGCGTTCCAATAATTCTAAAATAAAGCGATCCCTTAGCGCTTAGAAATAAACGCGAATACTTAACAAATTAAATAAAATCGCGCGAGTCAGATTATTTTACATTCGAAACATCGATCTATTGATTCAGATAGTGTGCACCCTGAGCCGAACGAGACTGAGCAACGAGACGTTGAACGAGAGCCAGGATTCGATGGGTCAGAACGAAAGCGCAAGGACGATCACCTGATCGCTCATAGGCAGAGGCGCCGGTGGTTACGTCAACCTCCTCTCGCATTCACCAGTGAACACCCCGTGTCCCGGTTACAGGTACCGTGAATCCCGCGAACCCCTATTGGACGAGGCCGCGCCCCTGATCGCGACCACGCCACCAGCCGCCTGTGACGTCGAGGGAAGGACCGACGTCCTCTGCCCCGTACAGATACACGTGCACGACCCCTCGGCACGCGAGAGACGAAGACGGATGGACGAGGAGGACGAGACGGAGCGCGTCCGGAAATGGGTGGGGGGGAACGATCGGTCGAGGAATTGGATCGATCTGGACGAGAACGTGTTGGACGGTTACATACTGATAGACGACTCGTGCCTCGAGCCCGGCGTTATACCGGACGAAACCAAGGAGCTTCCGTATCCGGAGGGGGGCGTGGAGGTAGACGAGGAGAACGAGGAGGACGCGGATAGCCACGGCAAAGACGATTCCTCGATCTACAGCATCGCCAAGAGGGGGATCTCGAGGAGAGGGCCTCGAGAGGAGTTCGATCTAAGCTCGACCTATCCGCTCGCCAACAGCCACGGTAACGCTTACAAAGAGTCGAGCAGTCATACCAGGTACACCGAGTTGTACTCCGAGTTGGCGGTTAAGAATTACTTGGAGGGGAATCGGGAAGAGATGGGCAATTATTCCGTGGCCAACAGCCACGGCGATCACAGCGTGTCGTCGGAGAATAGGGAACGAAGTTTGAGGGAGAAGGCGGAGACCGATCAATCGGTTTGGGACACGAGGCAGCATACGAGTTACGAGGTGGCCAACAGTCATAGTAATTATAGAGTGTTCTACGACAGTCAGACGCAGCAGAGGGAATTGTTGAGGACGAGCGGTTGGTCGATAGAGTCTTGGAGGGAGCATTTGATGGCCAATAATTACGTGGTGGAGGAACGGAAGCAGAAATCGGAGAACGCGGGGCAACTCGTCCGCGACGACGAATCCACGAAAACTAGTCGGTCGGAGGCGAAAAGCGATCCTGGCTCCGAGCCGGCGTGCGACATCGAGCAATGCCTCGTCCAGATCGAGGAAAGCCTGTTGAACATCGAGCAGAATTTGCTTCACGTGCAGGACCTCGACATACCGGAATTGAGGAATCTTTTGTACAAAAGTCCAAGCATCGAAAAAAGTCTTTACGAGGTTCAAGACCTCCTCTACGCCGACGGTATTGTTCCTGTAATCAACAAGAGAAAATCTTCCACTCTTATATCCGAAGACGAGGAAGAGGACGAAGAGGAAGAAGAGGAAGAGGAGGAGGAGGAGGAAGAGGAGGAGGAAGAGGAGGAAGAGGAAGAAGAAGAGGAGGAGGAGGAGGAGGAGGAGGAGGAAGTTTGGGTAGGTCGTAACATAACTGTAAAAGACAACGACAACGAAGACGACGAAGCTGCTGCTGGCATCTTGGATGCCTCGAACGAAGAATCGTCCGACACCGCCAACATAGACGAGAACAATCGATCGGGATCGATGGACAATTGTTCGACCGCCGACTGTGTAAACGGCTCGACCATCTTCCACGAGGACGTGTCCGTCGATCCGAATTGCAACGAAAAAACCATGAACTTTATCCCGAACAGTTTAAACAAAACTTTGCCCAGAAGGATCATCCTGGACGGAGCCAAGGAGAATATCAGGCTTTGTTCCTCGGAGCCCGAGGAACGGTCGACGACCACGGTCGATTACAATTTGAACACAACCTGCGCCGAGAAGAAGTTGTTCTGTCGCGACAAGTGTCACAGCAGGACGAACTCGTTGGACGAAAATTGCACGTTCACGAATTTCGACTCGTTCGATAAACGGGAGACGGGGAAAAGCTCTTTGCAGAACTTGTTGTTCGAATCGACGAACGGGAATTTGTTCGACCATTCCGGGAAGGCAAGGTCGGAGGAAATGCTACGGACACCTCGGAACAGATGTTTCAACGCGAGTAGAAAAAAGTCGAACGAGAAGCGGGCGGTGGACGCGAAAACGGAGGATTTTCGTAGGAAGCTCGAACCAGTTTCCTCGAGTCGTCGTTTCGCGAACGCGTCGTCCGTGAACGTGAACGAGCAGAAGAGGGGGAAAATTTCGAAGGAATCGGCGAACGTGAACGCGCCACGCCCGATTCGTGAAAAATCACCGAACAGGACGAGGCGAGGCACGATCTCCGCGGACAAGGTGCAAGAGAAGGAAAAGGAGTCCGGGAAATGTGCGGACAACAAGAGGAAACGGAAGAAGATATCGAGCAGAAGTCAAAGTTCCTCGGAGAACGCGTTAGTGCCTAGCAAATTGATCTCTCTTTCACTGTCTCTTCTTCTCGCGGCTTTATTGCAAGCGGTCAGGTGTCTCACGGACCTCGTCGAGGACGCGTTCAGATCTGTCAACTGCGACAGAAGCGGCCTATTGCAATAACGCTGTTGCATCCGCGAACGGTTCTCGTCCGGCACGAGACCCATTCGTTCAGAACGTGGCAACATCCAACGAGATTATCGCGTATGAATGGTAACGTTAGATGGCACTAACCACATAAACATACACACACACACACACATTGTTACTATTATTTTTCGTCGCTGTACTCCCACTTCGTTTTCAAATACGTACTGTCTCCCGTCCAAGACCAGATTTCTGTCGAGGTGGCCGTAATTTCAACCAAAGATCGGTGTTTAGGTCATTTTATTGATCGGATGAGAAATTTCTGATCTAGAACTTCTCTTTCTTCTTCGAAAGTTAACGTTGCAATGATCGTCGGATCTGAGAATTTGGCAATCCGTAGATTAACCCAAGTTTTTTCTTTTCTTCACGCGTAAAATTGATTCATAACACGGCTTGCACTAACTTGTGGAATTTTTTTTCTTTTCTTTCCCCGAGCATAAAAATACGTACATTAATCGTGCGAATTAATAAAAGGAAAATACTTTGAAAAAATCATTCGGTAATATTATTGATAAATATGATTACGTGTTGGATTTACGTGACGCGGAAATTAATCACAGTCGAGGAAACATTAAAATAGACGACGTCGTTCCACATTATCGATCAACGCCATTACCGAGATAGACACGGTGAATAATCGGTGAAAAGGTATAATAATGCGCGTGATACTTTCAATTATCATAAGTATTTTTTAGTGAGTACCGAGTTTTCTAATTACCGACACGTAAAAAAACCAATTACCGCCCACGACTCTTTTTGCGCTCCGTCTTTTTTTTTAACCGAGATCACCTTTTCAGAAGGCGCCTAACGAAACTGGTCTTGGGGACCGCGAAACATGGGGGAAAACAAGTTCATCCTAATTCAAAAAACACTTCCGACCACCGAGGAACTTAATAATTTGCAACCGTAAACGTCCACAAGCTACAGCTGATGTCTGTGATAAACGCTATTGCTTACGTTCCACGATCACGTTTTTACACACGGTACGCTTACAATACCAACAATAACAAGTTTAATCGTAGGGGAGGAGTACACACACACACTCGTTAATTATACACACGCTCGTTTATAAGAGAGATCGTTTAACAGGGATCCGCAACGGTGACGGCGCGGAAACGAGACGTGAGATTTTTCCTTATAGTTTCCTTATTCTTTTTTTTTTTTTCTTCCATTCTTTAATTCATCGCCAAGAATTTATTTTATGTATATATATATATATAAATATAGAAAAGGTGCTACCGCGTGCAACCGTCGAGACGCGAATAGTTTGCGTGAAACGAAAGCGTGTCACGTGGATGGAACGAAATCGGAGAGAGAGAGAGAGAGAGAGAAAGATTTTTCACGAGCTTCCAAGAGAAGATGCTTTACGGATCGCTAGACGGGTATGTGCCAGAAACGACGATGACGTAGCGCGCGAAAACGATAGTGCACGATAATAATAAGAAAGAAGAAGTTTCGCGGATAAGTCTTATCGATTGAGCAAAGTACGGGCTAAGCATGTTACGGTATTTAGCACCGCGTACGTAACGTTCTAAAGTGCCTAAAAAAAAAAAAAAAAAAAAAAAAACTCGTATCGCGGATACGCGAGTTGCAATTACATATATTGTCTAATTGATTAAAACTTTCGATCTAACGATTTAACGCTACTTATATCTTACTCACTACTATCCCTATCGTAAGCCTGTTTTTTTTAAGGTGTAACACGTTGCTGGGAGGAAGGAGCCGGGAAAAAAGGAGGAAGATGAAAAAAAAAAAAATAAAGAAAAAAAATAAAAAAAAGAAAAGAAAGAGAAAAGATGAAAATAATAAAGAAAAGCGAAGCAAAAAAAAAAAAAAAAAACTGGCGAGAACGCTTAGAAACGCGTTTGGATGCGCTTCTCTGTGTGTGAATCACTTCATCCCTGCCCCCTCTCCCTTTCCCCGAGTTCTTATCCCTTCCTATCGTTCCACATGGCGAGAGGCGTTAAAGGTCGAAGTTTAGACCCAGGCAAAATTAATTTCTTCTACAGCGGAGAGTTTAATTAATAAGAAACTTTTTCAAGGAATTCGCGAATCTACTTTTCGAATATAGTTAAACCCTGTTCGGTGTATATTTGAAAATCGTCGAAAAGGGGATACATTTGGGAATACCAAAAACCGTTTCGTTTGTGCGTAGCCGCGCGCGCGCGCAAAAAAAAAAAGGAATTGTCCTTCCGAGGAAAGTGACGTGAAAGTTATTGATAAGTTATTAATAAATAATAATAAATTTATTAAATATTTTAATTTTTATTGGATTATGTAATATAGACTTTTTTTTTAAATATCAAAGTTAAAACGACCATTTAACGATGTATATATAATTTCAAAGGGATCAATCCCTTTCGTTCCCCACGATCGTTTATCATTTCTCCAATTAAAAATTTTTCCTACTACCCTCTCGTATAAACTTTAATCGCGATAATTTCCATTGTGTTTTAATCTCAAAGCGGCGGTATTATTTATAAGATCGACCTAATCTAACACCTTAAGCAGTTAAATCAAATTTTATATATAAAAATATATATATCTCATTAATCAAACTTTATAGAATACATATGAAATTATCGGAAAATTTGATCCTCGAATTTTTCTATTCTAATTCACAAATCTATACAACGCTTAGAAGGAAAATCTTAGAAGGATCCAGCGAAACATTTCGTCCCATCCGTCCACCACCCTGATCTCCACCGAGTGGACATCGTTTACTCCCGCGTCTTTTCACCTCCGCCAGAGAACCAACCCCCCTCTATTCGTCGGGATATCATCCCGAGAGCTGGCGCGAGTGCACACAGCCTCTCTGCCAATTCGCATCCACGACAAGGGACGCACGGGGCAAGAGCCGCGTATCGATCGCGAAACCGCTCATCTCGTTCGACAACGGGGGTCGAGGTTGTGGCAATCGAACTCCTACACCTACACCGAACACATTCCCCGCATAGCGCACATTCTCCTTCGCCCACCCTATTCCCCCCTCCCCCTGACGATCCACCGACCTCTCCCGTGGATTCCCTCTCCCTTGTCCTTCAGATCGTTAATTTCAATCAACATCCACCAACGATTACCGATATACACCCTCGGAACAAAGGATACCCTAAATACGTATGACGAGTGAAACGATCGATCCGACGCCTTCTCTTCGAAAACGCCGGGTTTCTAATCTCGATCCGACGAGACTCGATCAAATCCTCCAAGGGGAGAGGAGGAGACGCTTCCGAAATGTTTTCGGAAAAACATGGAAAACAGTTGGATAGTAATCGGATCACGTTCGGATTCGGATTCGGGCAAAGACGGGACGAGTTGATATTCATGCGGGCCACCTCTCGCGCTAGAATTTTCAATTAAGATCCGTAACTCGAGGAGTGGAACACTTGCGGAATACGTTAAAAAACTGGACAGAGAACAGAGGGGCAGAGGAAGGGACCGAGGAAGCGAGGCTTTCAATCGCTTTTTTCTTCTTCTCGATCGATTCCTCTTGAATATCGGATCTTGGATACCCTCTTGGAAATCCGTCCGTGACTCGATGACAGGCGCCAATTTAGCCGGGATATTTATCCGTGGTCGATGGGACAAGGACAAATAATATTCTTAGGACTCGCCTCCCCACGGAGTATCAATCGTTTAGGGGGATGTGTTTCGCGGATTCGTGATAGCGACGTAAAGGGAGCATTTATGGGGAGGGGAGAGGATTGGCTCTCGAGTAATGATGAAATATATAGCTTCGGTGGTAGAATCGAAGCTCCCGTTTGGGGATAAATCATGGGGATCGAAAATCGGTGGAAGAAGCGAGTAGTGTATACGTCCAAATGCCTGGCTTCCGGCCTTCCGTTCGCGGATTCGGGAAAACGCTGGTTGGATGCTTTCAGCATCTGATTCTCGGGATATTTTGGAAATTGTGATAAAAAGGAGAGAATGAATAAGGATTGACTGTCGTGAAAATGGAAAATGGGATGGAAGTGAAATTCGGATGGATCGTATGGATTATCGAGATATTCCTCAATTGTTGAATATTTTGAGAAGTTAGATATGAATATTGATGAAGGAGATGCAACGATATCGTTCGATTATTTAGAGATAGTTTAAAGTTGACTGTCGAACTGTTTCGAAAATTGTGAAAGATAATATGAATGTGTGATTGTGTATGCGTTAGTCGTACGTTTCGAGGTTATCGTTTGTATAATTTTTGCGTCTGAACCGAGATATGCTTTTTAAGTTGCCATCTCTTTATCGTCTGGCTTGGTACTTGATTGCGCCGATTCAACTTGGATTCGACTCGATAGCGGACAGAGAGGATGAAAGTTTGTGTCTACGTTTCGTCCATGCGAAACTGGAAGACATTGCACGATCGTTTATGCAAACAGCATTCCAGAGTTTGCAACTAGTTGCAGACTGTAAATGCTGGTTATGTAACGTTTTTTTCATTGATATTTTTTTATTTTTCTCTCTCTCTCTTTTTTCTTTTATTAGTTATTAGGAATTTTTTTAATAAGAGTTGTAATTTCTATATAATTGATTAAATGATTCAAGATGAACGAGCTTATCGCAAAAGTCATTAGAGAGCAACGTGTACATTAATCTCGTGTAAAGTGTATCTTGTTGTGTAACTGGAAATTTATTTAGTGTGTTAAGAATTATTCTATAAAGTGTTTAGAAAAAATTATATTTCCAACCAATTGATTTTCAATTTCAAATTATATTTCTACGTTGGAAAAATATAATTTTTATTCAAACATTATTACCCAACAGGTCTTTTTACCCCGTACTATATATGTTCAATTTTAAGTTAAACTCGATCCGAGAATTCGCCACCTCGAATCAAAGCGTATTTTATTCAATCATAATCTTTAGCTTTAGCGAGATTAGTTAACGCGAAGATTTCGTTATACGATGCAAAATATATCCCATTCCACTCGTGGTTTCAGCTCGCTATCGACAACACTCCATTTCGCATTCTATAAATTAAAAAATTAATTAAAGGAGAATCATAAACTATTTTTAATATGTTTGATATCGAAATTACGGTAAAAGGTGCGCGATTGTTGTTTTTTTTTTTTTTTTGATGAGGAAATAGATTCATGATTTATAATAGAAATGCAAATACAATACTCAGAATTGTAATATGATAAAAAGTGAATTTAAAATACGCAGAATTATAAAAACAGAAACGAAGATATGATTGATGCAAACCATATATTACGTAACAAGATAGCGAGCAGTATCGATATCTTTACATCCACAATTTAAAAATATTCTTCCTCCTAGGAAATGTTCTACTTTTTCCTGTTTCTTGGCTGATTTACGCGTTGATACTCTCTCAAGCTTAAAAATGTATCCCGGATGCGTAGTTTCAGGAATGTAAATATTCGAAAAAGGAAATTTCCTTTCTAAAATAAATTGCCTTTTAGTGTTGCATGAAACTTAAAAAAAACTTAAACCAGTAATTTTAGAAGGAAATAACCATTATGTTTAATATTCATGAGTGCGTCAAAAAGAAAATTCATTGAATCAAGTATTCTAATTATCGAAATAGAATTTTCTTAATATTCAAAATAGGCTTTTTTTCGTGACCTTATGTAGGTCTTTTTCAAGCCTACGTATCTCGGTAAAAAGATAGCAGTTTTCGTGGTTTTTTTTGATTAAAAAATTTTTCTTCTACGTGAAATTAAAAATTAATCTCTAGCTGGATCTTAACTTTAAATATTTCCTAGATCATTGGATAAACAAATAATTAACAAGAGATACTTCAGATATAATTCTTTATATGTGTCATTGAATCCAATTAACAGATTTATCTTCGATTGATAGCAAGTTATAAAAAATTTAATAGATTCGATTAATAAATTTCGAATAAAATGACGATTCACATTCTAAATGATAAAGTTTTGTTACAACACATTTAGAAATTTAAAAGAGTAATTCGAAGCAATTCTTTAACGATAGTGGTTGCAAAATTAAAACGAACATACGAGCAGTTCGTAACGCGTACAATATGCACAAACTCGATAGCAAACTAGTGTACTTATATATTCACAAGCGCAATAGTGTTTCGCAAGAATAGTTTTCAAAGTCCAATGGGACACATATCTGTGCAAAACGCGAAAATACATTTTCTCTCGATTCGAGATTGTAGAGGAACAATATTAAGATACAATCTTTTTCTCCTCTTTCGAAAATGTTATTTTCAAAAGATAGTGTTTCCTTCAGAATTATGGAAAAACGAATAAGTGGTCTAACTAAAAAAGGCTTACGCCTTCGTGAGGAAAACAAATTCAAAAAATTCAATCAAATGGTAGAATTCAATAAAATACATGACATTGTTGTACTAGAAGATTGTGAAATGAACAAGCGAATAAAATACCAAGAACTGAAATTGATGCATATATGGCGTGTATCGGTTTTTCATCGAGTTCTTTTAATTGTGTTTTTTTGCAATATTCATCAGAAAAAAACGTCTGCGTTATATTTTACTTTTTGCATTATTGAAAGTGGAAAGCGATGAATGATTTCTTTTAGAAAAATATAAGAAGAGGAAAAAATAAAAAAAATAAAAGAGGAACACGTGTATCAGGCTTTTCAAAGTCGATCAGCAAAATTGAAGTAGGGGGGAGAAGGAAAAAAAAAAAAAAAAAAATGTATGAATGAGACACTTTGATGTTTCGCATGGTTGCTGTTTAACGGAGTAATTGAGATGGTGCTTTCTTTTTTTTATGTTTTTTAAAGAATCTCGCTACACGTGCAAATATTTGCTCGTTTAACAGAAAACATCTTTGGCAACAAATTCAGAATCATGCTAGAATTAGTTGGCGAAAATTGGCGAGAGAGCAATTTTTGAAGCATCGATGTACCATTATCTATTCTGAATCGAACGTGCGAAAAAGGAAAAAGCAAAGCTGTTGTAATCTCCGAAATTGTATTCTCCGTGAATATTAATTTTGCAATCCTTTTGAAGTAATTAATTATAAAAGAAAATCTAAATAGATCGTTAAATTTGTGAAGGAAATGAAAATTTTAATAAGCATAGGTTTCTCGCATTCGAGCTTAGATATATAAAACTTGGAATCCCGTTTTCATTAATGATTCACAAAGACAAAATGAGAGAATCTTTAAGAGAAGAACAATTTACAACCTCTCTACCTTGATATCACAGAT